ATATATATATATATATATATATATATATATATATATATATATATATATATATATATATAAAACATTATAAAAATGATTGAATGTTTATTTCCTTTCACAAAACTTTAATATTTTCGTTGAACTTCTAAAAATTTTTAAAGTGATATTTTTTTAAATGAATGATACTTTAAAAATTTTAAAAACAATTATTCTGTTTTTCTTTTTTCTAATTTGAAATAGTAACAAAAGAGGAATATTATATGCGATATTTTTGTCGTATTTTTTCAGAAGATTTATTAAATAAAAAAATTTAAAAAATTTTCATTTTGATTGCCATTGCTTAAATTAATAAAGTTCTTTAAAAATTCATTTGATACTCATTACCTCATATCAACATGTTAAATAAATAAATTCTAAAGTTAATTCAAAATATAAAGTTAATTACAAATATCAGCTGGATAAATTTTTTCAAACAAATTTTTAGTTCATAAAATTTTAACAAGTGTTAGGTTCGAAAATTCAAAAAATCGGAAAAAATAGAGACTGACAATACTTTAAATATTATTTTCTGCCCTCCGGCCGGAAAGTGGCAACTTTCTGGCCGCTGCGCTAAACAAAGTTGCCACATTCCGGCTACGTCGAGCAGAAAAATAGTATACACACCTTGGCCAGTAAAAAGTAAAGCCTCAGACCACATGTTTGTCAACGTCGGCTTCGCCTCGGCCAACAATTACATGTGGTCTGAGACTTTTCTTATTTTACTGGCCTAGGTATGTAATAAACTATTCTCATATTTCTTCACATCTATTGTTTTGTTATTTTTGAGTTCCGTTTACTAATGAGAACAGACTACTGCCACTGGAATTAGACTTATCTAAGAAGTTCAGAGTTTTATTGTAATATTCATAAGACTCTCATAAAATACAGTGCATTGTATACTGTAAATAGGATTTAAAGTCCTTCTTACAAATTAGTATTACCCTCTGGCTGTAAAATTACGGTCTCATCTTGCAATTATCGAAGGTCGACTAGAGAAACTATAGACGTGTTATAGAATTCGAAACGTATTCTAAATTTAGAGTTTAGTTGTAAGTGAATTTCAATTTAGCACTCAATTGTTCGAAATTTCTATTACATTTGTACTCTAATCCGATTTTTTACTGCACACTTAAAAATTTCAACTACTTTTTCATACAAAAATTAGAAGTTTTTTTAACAGTGTACATTCCTTAAAAGGACATACATTACCACAGTCAAAAATAAGTTTTCTGATTTTACCGCATGCTAGTCGTAAAATACTTACATCTAATTTACAATAATGGAAAATTTCCTCCTTAAAATTAAAATTATTGTTTGTATTCATTCTATTTTCATACCATTCTAGAAATTCTTCCTTTTCCGACTTCTTTGGAGGTTCAGATTTCTCAGACATGGAGCTGAAACCGCAGAACTGCACCGTAGAATTACACCGATGTAGTCTTGATTACTTCTGGTGTTGAAAAAATCAGGAAAGTAACTTTTCCGCATTTTATCTTCGAAGCCGAATGATTTGGGCAGAGCTGACAATAGTGCCGAAATAAAATTCAAACTATCAATAAATTTAATTTTTTTATTGTTAAGTTCGATTAAGGTGACATTAGTACCGGTCATTATAGTATCAATTGTCACGAACGGAGTGTGTGATAGGGCGTTTTAAGGCTAAGAAATCATCTCAAAACCCAATCACTAGTTCCGCGCGATAACTAAATTAATGTTTTTATAAGTTTTATACGAATATATAGAGCGGTTCATATACCGTATTATTCCCAAACCTTACTATGATTACAAATAGTGGTTTAGAAATTTGAAAGGATGTTAGGATCCTGCTGACTTCGGCTTCGTGAAGCCTATTCTACTGTTTATGAATTTATGGAAATTAACTTTAAGTAAAATTAAAAAAAAGAAAATTTTTAGAATGTTAATTGTTTAAGTTTATTTTTATGACAAACTTGTACATTTAAGGAAAGACAAGATAAAGATCATGCATTAAAATGCTAATATGTGTTACGAAAAGAAAAATAAAAATAAACTAGATGAATAGGTTACCTTTCTTGACTTCCCAGGTAGGAAAGAACAACTGGACAAGGCTTGGACCAAGCCTGGGCCAAGCGTCACCAGCCTTGGGTAAGGCTTGGCACGAGCCTTGGCTAAACATTGGGCCAAGGCTCGGTCCAAGCCTAGGATGATAACTATGTCTCCAAGCCTTGGGAAACCAAAACACAAGTCTTGGGAAACAAATGGCCCAGGGCTCGGACCAAGCCTTGGGGAACTAATTTGCCAGGACTAAAAAAAATGCAAACATTATTAAAAAATTAAATTTTATTTTAATTGTATTCGTGATTTTACGGTTTATTATCAGCTTTACGTTATTGTATCTCGCGATTACACCAGATTACCTTGAAAAAATCTTTGCTCACGATGGGAATCGAACCTGGGTCACCCGCGTGAAAGTCTCGAACTGTACTGACTTCGCTGAACTTCGTAGTAACACTAACAGATTAGTTTTAGTTACTTAAACATCACTCAGTCATTTTGCTTCATTACATGATATTTCATAATTAAAATTGAACTTATAACTGCTAAAAATTTTGTATAGTTCACATATGTATAGTTCATTTAGTATAGTTCATTTCACATAGTTCACATTTGTATAGTTCACAGATTTTAAATAAAATAAATTTTGAACTAATTGTTTTTTTCGTACAAATAGAAGATTCTCTAAAATGGAGTTAGACAATTTGCTAATTAGAACGTCGATATTAGATTATAATTTGTAATTTTGAAATTTTTGTTAAATACCCGTGCGAAGCTGGGGCGAGCTGCTAGTAAATAAATAAACTGCACCCAAATAAATTAATTTATAAACAGTCAATACAGTTTTTATTAGTGTTTTTTTTCTTTTTTAAAAAGACAAAAGTTTAGGGTGAGTTTTTCAATCCAGGATGAAAATAAAATTATTATTGCCAATATATTTATACATATATGAAATATGTAGATATATTTTAGCATTAGATAAAA